TTAAATATCCTTATATCCTTATATTTAGGGCTAAGTTAAATAAATTTAATTATACCTCTCTTAACTAGTTTTAAAAGCTCCTTATTAATAAATTTTATAAAAAATACTCTTAGTATAATAATAATACCCTTATTATAAAGTTTAGTAACTAGCTTAAGATTTATCTCTTTTTTAAATATAAAATAAGTAATAGTTATAGAAGTATTATTATAGCTACGCCGTATTAATATTTTTCTAATCCTCTTCCTCTATAGTAGAGGGTCGTTATTAACTATTATAACGATTTTATTAAAGATTTTATTAATAGCGGCACTATTATTAGTTAGCTAGTTAACTACGGGGATTAATAAATAATTAATATACTTTATTACTATAACTAGTAACTCGGGGTTAACTTTTTTTAAATACTAGGGTTTAATTATAATAACTTAAAAACTTATTAGGCCATAAGGTAATTTTATTATATAAGTAGTACTACTTATTAAAACGAGCTTAAATAAGCCTTTCTATCCCTTACCTTCTTACTAAATTTTAATATTTAACTATAGTAATAAATTAATAATATAGGAAATATTTAGTCTATTTTAAGTAGCTAGTACCTCGCTTACTTACTTATTAATATAAAGTCTGCGGATTTCCCTTATTACCTTTTTAACTACTTCTATATATTAAGTAATATTTAGTAATAATAGAAAGTTATTAAAATACGTAAAAAAGCTCTACAAATAAAGAGTATAGGGACGAGGCTATTTGAGCTAATTATATTATTAACTACTTTAATTACGGCCTAAAGTATAGCCTCCGCGCTTATTAATAAGTACTTATTTTAAATAATATTATATACTTTTTTAAGTACTACGTAGTATTTCTTAGCCTTATTAATACTATTATAAGCTTTTATAAGTACTTCTTTAACTTTAATAAATATAAATTTAATTAAAAACTTAAACTCTACGGCGCTAAAGTTCTTATTAATATTTATAATAATCTAATCTAGCGGACTAAGGTAGACGTTAATTTAATATAACTAAAGAGCTTCTTATATATACTTTATAGTTATATTTATAAAGAACCTTATTACTTAAAAAGAAGTAGTAGTATTAATAACGTAAAGTACTAGTTAGTTAGTACCCTTATAGTTTATTAGGTATATTATATTAATTACGATTTTATAGTTAAAATCGTAATTATTTTATAAAATAAATTTAAATCGGCTAGGGGTAGTACCGTTAAGTTAATATTATTAATAAACTTTTATAAACCTCTCGAGGGCTATAATCTCTACGTTATTACTAAATTACTAAAGTAGTTTTAAGAAATAGGGAACTAAAAAATAGCTAAAGCGCTAATATAAGCGGCATAATTTACTTTTTATTAAGTAATTAGTAATAGCTTTCTTATTATTAAGAAGCAAAAGCTAAGGGTATCTCTATTTATAAATAATAAGTATTATAATATCTCCCTTAATTAGTAAGTTATTAATATTATTAAAATATACTCTTAGCTTATCTATATCCCTTAAGTAATATAAAAAAGGAGTATTAGTTAGTAAGACGTAAAAAGTAATATTACTAAATAGGGTACTAATAATTATAAATATTAATAACCTTATAGGTTTATTATTACTAAACTAAATACCTACTTCGCTAGCTTTAAAAATATTAAAAATAACTTCGGATCGTTATTATTATAATACGAGGAGTTAAGGGTAGCCTATAATTAAGAATTCTATAGCGCTAGTATTAAGTATAATACTTTAGAAGTCCCCTAATAAGTACTTCTTATTTAATAAGAAAAAAGTCGTTAGTTCTATAAGCTTAGTTAACTCGTTAATAAAGGTAGTACTAATAAAGCTATACTCTATTACTTAAGTAACGAGGATATTTATAAGGGTTCTATTATTAGTAATAGTTATAAAATATACTATTAAGATCTAGACTTCGTCCTCGTAGTTATCTTTATAATTAAAATTAAGATTATTAAAGTATTAAATTATTATATTATTATCGTCGTTATTATTAATAGGGGTAGTTCCTTTATAAAAAATAAGGAACTATAAGTATAAGCTTAGTATAAATCTCTTATTTCTTTTTTTACTATTTTTATATTTCTAATATACTTAACGTCGCTCTTTTTCTAAGTACTTAGTTAATTAATAGCTAGTTTTATAATAAATAAAGTACTTTTTATTAGTAGTACCGTAGCTACGTTAATTTTACTTATTAAATCGGGTCTTTTTATTAAAGCTACTATAAGTACGGTTAGTTTAGTAAGTAGTAAGGACCTCTTTATTATAAGCCCTATTTTAAAAATATTACTATTACTTATTATAGTTACGCTCTCTTTCTATAATATTAATTAAAGTACTAAGCTAGTAATAGATATTAATAAATATAAGTACTAGGTTAAGTATAGTAAGTTTATATTTTAATATACTACTTACGTAATAAAGGAGCTAGTTATTTATATTAAAAATAAATCCTTACGTAATTAGCGCTTTATAAAAAATTATAATATAGTTAATAAGCGCTTATAAGATTTATTAATATAACTTACCTAGGTTCTTACGGATTATAAAATATTAATAAAAGTTATAGAGCTTAGTAAAATAGTTTTAATAACTTATAAATAGTTTAAAATACTCTTAGGTCCTTTAGTATATTATATTAAAACTAAGCGGGTTAAAAATATTACTAAGTTAGTTAAAATAGAAGGTTAACGCCCTTTTTTTAAGTATATTTAAGAAAGTACTAGAATAGTATTATTTACTAATTCCTACCCGTTAATATAGTACTTTAAAAATCTAAAACTTCTTATTAAAGATATCGTACTTCTTATTATTATACTTATTCTTATTATTATAAAACTTAGTAAAGTTAATTAATTAGTAAGTATTAAGTATAATATTATCTTTAGTTTTTATATCGAAGTATAGTATTTAATAAGATAGATTTTATTATTAAATAATAATAACTTTATTTTTTAATTCTTTTTCCTCTTTTTTTTTAAAGAGGTAGTAAGTTAATTAATTAGTAATAAGGCTAAAGTTATAGTTTTAATTATTTTAATTAAGCTAGCTAGATTTATATAGACTCCCTTATTATCTTTTTAGCTTATTAAATAAAATCGTTAGTATTTATTAGTTATAAGAGTAGTAAGTAAAAGAAGTAAGGATTATAATATAATATATTAAAATATTTAATACCACTATAATAAGCTACGATCTCTTTAAAAGTCTAAGTAAGAAAGTACTAAGTATTAAGGGTATTAGCGATCTTATTTACTATTTAACCGCGGTCCTTAATTATTAAGTTAATACCGTTATTTATAAAAAAGTTTTTTAGCTTTTTAAAAATCGTACTTTTTATTTTTAAAAAATCCCCTACTTCTTAGCTTTAAAAGTTAGTCTTAAAGTCCTTTTATAGCTCCTTACTTATTAAGCCGTTTTAATAATAAGATCTTATTATATAAAAAATAAAGGTATTAAGCTTTTTATTATTTATAAAAGTAAGTATAATATTAAATAAGCCCTATTAAGTTAGGTTAATATAATCTTATTAGTAAGTTAGAATTAGGTATAGTTCTATAATTTAAGAATATAAATAGGCTAAAAATAATATTAACTAATTATTAAACCTTTCTTACTTATTACTAAGGCCGGTAGTTATTATAATATATTTACGAGGTAAGTTATATAATAAAAAATAATCGTAAAAAGTAATTATCGTATTTTAATTATAATATAACGTTAGGTAAGTTTAAATAAGTAGTAAGTCGGTTATAGCGATCGTTTTAATAATAATAAGCGGGCTACTATTATTAGTTAGAAAATTCTTCTCCTTTAATAAAGTATATAAATAGAAGGTTATTAAAGTAAATAAAAGGTTATAAAAAAAGAAAAAAGGCCTTTTATAACCGTACTTTTAATAATAAATAAAGGATTCTATTAGTTACTAATTAGTAATTCTTTTTAGTATTTTTCGTACTTTATTTTTATTAGTTTAGTCTCGGAGCTTCTATAGGTTAAAAAAAGGTAGATTTGCTAATAATATAAAATAAATCCTTATTACTATTATTATTAAGATCTTTTTTTTTCCTTAGTATTTTAAAATACTTCGCTATCCGTAAAGAATACTTTGTTATTAACGTATTTATAATTCTAAAAGTCTTACTATTACTAAGCGCTAGTACTTTAGTAATTATTAGATCGATTTTTTAGTAGTTAATCTTTTTTTACTTATTATTAGTTTAAAATAGCGCTTAGCCATAATATATTCAAAATAGATTCCTCTATAAATAGCTTAATTAGAGGGAAATTAGTAATTATAATAAGGCTAATAAAAATAATATTAATAATAAAAGCGAGGTTAATAATAATAATAAAATAGTTAATCCTTTTATAGTAATAGCCTTAATAAAAAAGATTATATATAATAAAGCGCGTTCTTAATAGCCTATAATTAGTTAATTAGTTATTAATTAGTAATAATAGAGGAGAGTTAAAATAGTATAAACTAAGCTATTTATTATTAATTAGATAGATAGAACTAAATTAATAAATTAAAATAGCTAGTAAGATAGGTCGAAGCTATCTTTTTTATAATTATATCTTTACTAACTTACGATAGAAATATATATATAATTTAATTACTAATTAGTATTAGTATATACGTAAATAGGTTAGACCTTTCGGTTATAACTAGGTTAATAGGTTAGTATAGGTTTATTATATATATATATAGGAGGGGAAGATCGTGGGCAGGGCCCGCGATCCCTCTGTGGGTATAAGTAGGTAGAAGGGTCCGTCTGCACGGGCCCAGACTGCCTACCTACCTCCCCTACCTAACTACTTAATAGGGCCCTTTTCTGCCTCGTAATCTAATAGATAGACTTTGCCGTAATCATTTGCATAGAAGTTGATAATCTTTTCTGAAAATTAGTCAACGGCCAATTTGCATGGGCACGTGGCAACTCACGTTCACACGACCACAGCCATTATGCTAGATGATCTTGTCGGCTGCATGGTAGGCTCCTCCTCCAACAATCCAGGTAACGTCACCAGCTTTGTCATTCTTCTGAAGGATTTATGTGGCTTAGAAGTTCAGAACGTTCAAAGGCTTAAGGTAGAAGACTCACGATAGAGATGGCGTCCTCGCAAACATCTTCGAACCAGACAAATTCGATGTTGCACCCCCCTCCCAAGCAGTACACGCCCTCCCCGGCCGTCTTTCCAATGATGACATTTCGCAGAGTGGCACCCTTCTGCAAAACGAAAGCCGTGTCTTTCTCACCTAATGTTGGTACACAATTGTAAGTACGATTACGAATGCTACAACGTAAGGCAGGAAGTCTGAGTTAAGAGGAGGATTTTCTCAACCATACCTCCTTCCACCTGCTCTCTGCATGAGGTGGGGCTTCTATCATACTTGGCCCAACCGCCGTCAAACACCTCGCCAGATTTGACATAGATGGGAGCAGAAATTTGTTTGTTGGAAGTGGGCTTGGGCAAACCACCCTCATAACCCAAGCATGCCAAAGTCATGGGAAGGGCCCCGAGCAAGGCGCCAGTGAGGACTCCGATCTTGCTGAGCATTGCTCTAAGTAATGTTGAATGAAACTAACGAGAAAATCTTGAAGATATAGGAATCCTGGATTGGGATGTAGCACTCTCGTCCCCATGATGATTGCGGCAGGGACATTTTATAAAGAATTTCGGTACAGAAAACGTTTAGTCTCGACGCCTAGCGAGGGAGCTTCATGAGGGGGCCCGCATCGAGCAATGTGGCGTGCCTCAGGTAAGAATGATCCACACGTGTTGTATGAATGCTTGGTTCATTGATATACAATGACTTTGAGTCGCGGAAAATCTTCATGGCTGACAGAGTTCTTGGATGATCTCCAGAGCTTCCTTTTTCGAAGCCTTGGGACACGAAATTCACCGTAGTTGGCGCAGAAATTGGGTCCGAACTGAAAATAACTCTTTCCCTTGGCTTTCTGACACTGGGTGCTCACTGATAGTCCCACCAATTGAAGGAGACGAACTATGAGACAGCATGATAGACACGCCCGCTCGATGGTCTACGACCCGCGTTTGCTTCCATTCTGGGATCTAATACGGCCAATTCATGGAATCAAAGTACCTAGCTAGAAGTGGCTATGGCACATAGTATTTAATCAATATTTAGAGAAAATACTTTAACTGGAAGCGGCTTCACGAATTTGATGTCGAGCATGCAAATTCCCGAGTGAAGATGGGAAAATACAACACTCATTCACCTCGAATCTGGCTGAGGTGGCAGTTCTTTGAGTCAGCCAAATACTCTACACGAGGATGATGATGGAGCTTTGCGTACTCTGCACTCAAATTTCGGCTCACAAATACGAACCGTAATGTGATATTCCCATTGAGTCTATCGAACTGTGATACAAGTCGTCTACTAGGTTCACGAGTAGTATTATGGCTGGAGATGTCGCGCAGACACCATGAGCGCACCCCATAGTTAAGAAAGACCAACCGCGTGACAAGTATTCAGATTAAAAACTAGCTGAAATGCCTGAAATTGAGAATGCCAATTGCTTGGCTTGACTTTGAAAGGTAGCCAAGGCGGATTAGATGACAGGGGTGAAGCCGAATTCCGCCTTGGGGTAGCAACACTGTCGAGGGTCTGGAGAGGTAAATTCCTTCAGTATTACGAAGAAATAGATCATATGCCGTTCCGTCCGCGATGGGAAAACCATGGCATCTTGGCTGCATCGCAACGTGGAAACCTGAAATGTCCAGGGTCAAGGCGGATTGAGCGACACTCATCACCTAGATGGTTACCACAAGAAAAGAAGGTGAATTACTATTGTCAATGGGAGACTCGAAATCAACTGACTAGGGAGATATTGATACTTGAACTAATTGAAACTGATCTAGATACTTCGCGTTCATGCCTTAAGACAAGACGACTTCATACTGGAAGGTGACATGTCTGTAAGATCTGCCTTTAGAAGATCTTCGATTGCCAATGTCGAAGTGAATCTCATCGTGCCCTTTTTAGACTCTTGACATGATATAGGTGCACCACAACGGATTGTATATGTGTCGGAAAGACTTGTTTCCTGAGTATTGTCAGCCTAGCGCCAAATACACCGTCGGAGAAGATCGTTCTACTTACCTCGATCACCTGGAGTTTGGCTCGCCGCTTTGACTTTCGATTGCCTTCTCTGAGCCCTTGATCTTCGGCATTGGAGCTTTTGCAGACGTTGGTTCCTCCCACTCGTCTCCGATGAGCAACATACTATAGGCCTCCCAATACTGGAGGACATAAAGGCAAGGATAGAAGGCGATATCCAAGATGTCGACCACATTTGCGGTTTTGCTGCAAGCAAAAGGACCACAGACGGGTTCGACACAAGCTCTGAAGAGAAAGCCAGGGATAATAGCAGCAATTGCCAGACAAAGGACCACAATGCTGTAGGCCAGTATCGGCGGTGTTAGGACGAGAAGTCCAAAGAATATCAGGCAACAGGCGGCGGCGAACTCAGAAATTGAGAGCTTATTGTTTTCTGGTCGAGATTCCTGATAATTTAAGATAGTCGCATGAGCAACAAATGCAATCCACAAGACCGAGGTCAGTATTGCAAAGCTTCCGATGACAATGAAGGCTATTTCTCTAGAAGTATACATGGCGACTACCTCTTTCTGAGCGGTGTTGAAGTACAGCTGAACTTAAGTCTTGTTGGTCTGATGAAATTTGAGTGCGAGCACCGAAAAAATGGCCTTACGCTTCTAGAGTGATTCGAGGCAATGCCGTGGAAGAGTTTCAAGTGAATAGATATCGAGGTCAAAGCCAATTGAATAGAATCTAGACATGTATAAGTTTAGATTAATGTGTCTCCGTTGAATGCATCTGTTTTCGGGTACTTATGTCCGGTACCTTGATCGACAAGCACAAGCCTGACTGACGTCTGAGCTTCAAAATAAGGTATATTCACTAGGCCACCTTGATAGCCTCCTTTCCAGGCGGTCAAAAGCACTAGGAGACCTCAGTCGACAATAGTTAGGCTGAGTCCCATGACGTTGCAAATCTCCTATATAAACTGAAGAGTAGGATACAGAGAAATGAGACTTGCTCTTCCGCGAGAAGATTCGATCAAATGACATGTCTCAAAGGTGAGAAACACGCGTTTTGACATCAAACAATCGAATTTTCAATGCACATTCACCAGCCTATCCAAATAACTCAACCAAGCAACTTAAACAAGTCTAGTGACTCGGCAAACGTTGCCCCTTGGCTTGGAAGAGCTGGAGCCTTGATATTCAGGGTAAACATCAACGTTGCAATAATAACACGGCATTGCGAGCCATTGGATATGGAGTCGCACTCGAAAGGCCGAGCACGTACCCATTGGGCCATCGGGCATTACAATCTTTTGGCCAGAAGCGCAGTGACTCGAAAGCATCAAGTATAGGTTATAGAAGCTTACATCCAGTAACCATCTTTCCAGAGTTCCTTGCTATATCCCTCGGTCAATCGTTCGTCCTCGCCGTACTTTTCCTGCCAGCCGACGAATCCGCGATCGAGAACGTATACTGTCTGGGGCTCCGCAGATGCCGAGTCTCCCGCCGAGTCAGTAGCAGTAGTATTAGAGGCGAGATTCTGATCACGCTCTCGGAGATATCGAAGGGCAGCACTGGGTCCGCGTTGCTGCGACAGAGCGCAGTGGAATACGACCGTCTTCTTGCCTTCGAGGCGGCGCATGAGGGTGGGCATTGTGGCATCGAGACTTCTGGAGGGCATGTTAATACAGCCTTTTATATGACCGCCGAGGTAGTCTATGAAAAGAATACAGGTTAGCAGTGCAACCAAGCGGTTTAATTAGTTGAGGTCAAGGAAAAGGCTAACCATCGTCGCGAACGTCCACGACGGCCACAGACGAAGTGCCTGCAGCCTGTTCTGCCAAGAGTAGCGCGGAGAGTCTGGCAGCACTGATGCGCTGGAGAGTTCCAATCGTCGCCATTGTTCGTGGTCGGCGAAGAAACCTCGAGGAAATGGAAAGGCGTCTTCCGGCGAGGCGCGAGAAATAGCAGAGTGACGTCGGAACTTTCTTGAAGTTAATCGCGACAGCTTTGAGTTTTGGTGGGGAGCTTCGATGCGCGCGCGGGGCAAATATCCGTAAAGTCAGTATCCCTGTAGATTGTTGCGCAGCTATGGTGGGGTACCTTAACCCGGCCAATCCATTGTGATTACATAATGTCTGTTCTTGCTGCATGGCGGTCCATCAATTTCAAGCTCAACTTCTACTGAAAACGTAGGTACTTCGACATTGGACACGCTTGCGACGTTCATGGAGATTAGGACATCCTGCTTCATTGAAAACGCCCAATCAACCTCAAGTCAGTCGCTTCAGTGCTCAAACCCATACCGAGAGCCAGGGCTCAGGCCAGCAGCTTTTCTTCAATGATATGTGACGCATCTTCGGTCTCTCGGACAGTTTAGCAAGACAACTCCTCTCAACACCTGATAACATCGACGATTTATACATTGCCATGGTACTTAGCGATATGTTAGCCAGATATGGCTTTCGACAAGCAAAACAAGGACTGCGTAGTAGGTGGGCAGGCTTTACCTCTTGAGGCGATGATCTGCCGTGTGGTCCACCGGCTTTCTCCTCGTGCTGGCCCATCTTGCTCGGTTTCGGATCTCTCAATGATTGATACAGAGCATCTAAGAACCAATTGTTCAAACGAAAGATTGCAGATGCCCCAAATGAGGGATGAAATGCATGGTACGACGATCAACCAAGTTCTTGCCCGGGACTTGGTTCCCCGGCCCACCTGCCATCTCGGCCTCGGCGCTTGTTTGGAACGCCGCCTCCGATCCAGAATCATTATGGACTAAGCGACGCCCCGAAATTCTAGGCCAGAAACGTTCTTCTGTGCTACAAGCCAAGTGAGAATTCAGACACGAGAGCATTTGAACCTGAGTTTACGAGGCTATCATCATGATATTTTCTTTCCTGTGCCGGTAGGTACTTAACGTTCTGCTACGGCAATCCTCTGGTGGGTCGAGCTCTTCACGTCTCTGAAGTTTTCACGCTGCATGCCAAGGTTTATCGCAGTCAAAATCATGGCGGAATAAACTTAAATACAGTTTACAAGTAATGTTACTTAGATGAAGTCGGAAAATGGCTGCATTCGATATAATTCTAGAACTAACTCGGAGCGGGCGGCCCCATTAAACGGGATCTTTCCAGATAGACCTCGCCACATCTCTGACAAGGACAAGCTTTTTCCACATTCTGTCCTCAGTAATTACGCCTTGGTTGATACTGAAGCTAGCAAAGCCGCACTGAGGGCTCACAGCGAGTGAGTCTGCTAGAACTTCCGAGACGTCCCGTCTTTGCGCCTTTGCCATAACTTCAGCAGCCTCATAAACCCTCTTGATCAATGCCTCCTTGTTCTCAAGGTCTGCAACCTTTGTCGACACGAGGCCAAGAACTACATTCTTCCCTTGCGGAACAAATCTCAACGGATCAAAGTGTCCAGACACTCGAGGATCATCAAACTCTAGGTAGAACGTGTGGTAGTTGAGTTTGGGGAAAACC